ACTAATGTTTTCCTCAAGTTTGCATTCTAGGTTATCCTAAGTATCTACAGCATTTCTCCACCCCAAAATTTCATATACAATCTTGCATTACAACTGAAGCAAAAAAAGGTGAATTTTCTTTAGCACAATGGCGTAAAGGAAAACCTGCCCTTAGTTAGCTAAACAAAGGTTAAAGCTCACAGGCTTTTTGTACAGTCTCTTTTATACAACATCTCACATCCCATTGAAGTACATTCAAAAAAATCTACAAATAATAAACCTTCATGGAACAGAATGCAGATATTTCTATTAAAATCTGCACTTAACTCCACGGAGAATCCTCATAAAACACTGAGTACTACCAGCAGCTACTTAACAACTCTCATCTCTGTATGTTACATAGTAACCAATCAAAATCTACAATGTCAAACACCTGGTTATCTTTCCTGGTACATTCTTCTTTGACATTTACTGATAGCTTTGAATTTTATACAGTTACTTTTTCCTATTACAATCTTTTCAGTCTACATTCTCCTATCTACAGTCCACTAGAATATTTTCAGATAAGGTAATCCTTCTGTTTATCTTTAAAAAATAAAAAAAAATAAAATAGAAAAGGCCCAACACATTCCAGACCTACTGCTTTGCTCCATTTATTCTCATCTTTCATTTATTTGACAGACCTGAATTTATCCAAAATAAGATCCCATTTCTCATCTATTAATACACAACTTCAGAAATGGTCGTACTTCATTTATTTTCTCTGATTAAATACCATGCCTTACTAAATGCTGCTAACTGAAGTTCTCTCCTAAGAAGTATTTACACAGCGCTAAGGCCAACATGTGGGCTTATCTCCTGATCTCCTGATGCGTTCAAAGCTTCACCTAAACCTATATAGGCTAAACCCCACTAGCATCCCACTTAAACTTCATAACGAGACAGAAATGAAAGAAAACACAATCTTTTTTTTTTTTTTTTTTTTTTACCTCAGAATACGTTTTGCTAAAAGAAAGAATCGGTAATTTGACAGTGGCTTAAAACCTGAGTAACATCTTAACAATGTTTCTGCGATCATGATTCATATTATGGGTCATTTTAATTAAGTATATAGCCTTGATCTTCCACTGTGCTGAACCACTGCTGATAATTAAAGGTAATGTCCATTTTACTTACTTAAATAAAAACTAAAACAACTGAACAACAAAGGAACAACACTCTCCCAGTGCACTGCTTCTTATTAGGAACGCAATCCTTACTCTAGGAGTTGGGGCATCAGAAATGGGACAATCATCATAGAACGGGTTGAGTTGGAATGGACCTCAAGGATAACCAAGCTCCAACGCCCCTGCTGCAGGTAGGGCCACCAACCTACTACACCAGGCTGCTGTAACAATGCTGAATTGCTGATTAGTTGATAATTTAGAGTAGTTTTAATCTAGCTTCTTTGTGTGCTTACAGAGGATGGAATTTTCTCTTTGTTTCCAGAGGAGTTCCGCAGGAAAAAGATTGGTTTTGTGGTTTCATTTCTAAGTGCAAGTACTTTATTTATCAAGTTGCAATGGTGAACTTGCTGCTTAGGAAATCAAAGACAGACATACTGAAAAATACAAGTAGAAAAAAATCAATTGAAAAGAAATAATTTTTTAAGGGAAGGGTAACAGCACACCTTGTTTATACAACTAGATACTAAGAGAAAATAAGCTTTTTCTCCTTCAGATCCATTATCTACTATTTCAGCAAAATATTCTTGTATCTCTAAAAGACATTAAGAAGTGCTTTTATACAATCTCATTAAATTCCTGACTGAAGATTAAGTGTAAACTGGGAGTGCAAGCATCTTAGTAACTTCAGACTGCATTACCAGAAATGATCCCCACGCAAAGCTATGTGAAAACTCTCATTACAGAAATTCTTACAACTGAAGTTGATGTAAAGTGGAGCTGGGGGCTGCCCCGGGCTGTGTTGTGGGCTGGTTTTGTCCTGGGTCATGTGTTTCTCCCTTTTTTCTCCCTGAGTATGAAAATTAAGCCATTATGCAAAGAAGTAACCCAAGCACACTAGAGATGAGCAGCAGCTCTCACAGAAGGCACCTGTTAACAACTGGCCATTTCTGTCCCAAGATACAACCATAGGCGCCATCAGCAGAAGCAGCCCTGGAATTTGACAGAAACCATGCAAACAAGACTGACCTCTAGGCTCAAAACAGAGCACTGCTGCTAGTGATGGATGCCATTGCTAGGAAGACACAGACTGTTCACATTATTGTTTGTGCTTTCCTTCCCCTTAAAAGTCACTGGAAATTGAACATGGTAAAGGGAGGCATGTACACTGGGCAGTAAAAATAGGGCTATTGGAGTAATTTTCTCAAATACTTTTTGTTCTTCATACACTATATGTTAACAGGAAGTTTTTAACCCACACAGATTATGTCAATAGCGACAGCCCTAAAAAAGTACAGCCCTCCAGACACAGGACTGACAAATGCACTGAAGATGGCAATGGTAGAGATGTTGTTTTCTTCCCACTCCCAGAGAAGGAAACTACAGTTAGAATGCATCAAGCTAATAAACTGAATGCCCTTGCAAGAAGAAATCCAGCAGGTTTTTGATCAAAAGTAAAATATTATTCCTTTAAAATAGTTATTTTCTAAAGGCTTTGATCCACCACAATGGAATGACAGCAGTCTTCATATAATAAAATAAGCAAAAACAAACAAAAAAGAAAAACCACAAAAATACAAAAAAGCCTCCACAAACTTAGCAAGCACGCTGATACATTTATGCCCCTGAATAACACAGAAGGTACTGGAGGACACAACTGAGGGAAATGACTGCCAAGATTTGTGAACTGACAGCAAGTCCTCATCATTTATATAAAGAACAATTAAAAAAAGCAAAAAGTGGCAGAGCTGGGAAGCTGGACAAAAAACACAAAAGCAGGCAATTGAGAAGTTTTTCAAACAAAGAAGGGACAGTACTGGTTCACACCTCACAGCAAAAGCAGAACCTAAAAGAGCCTGAAAGCCAGAGATCTTGGGAGACCCAGGCACAATTTCCAAACCCAGATAAGGAGAACTTATTATACCATGTAAAGTTTGAGTATCTCCCAAACCACATGGACACAGAAATAAAGCCCCAAACTTGCTGAAGTAATAATACACTGTGCAATCTGCTTGTAGCAGTTGCATTTTCTCCCATCCCAGGGCTCTGAAATCGGTTCTCTAACACGGAGGAGTTGATGGAAATCCTCTTAAGCAACTATTTCACTGAAAGAATACACTGCCCCTCACAACCCCCACAGCACTAAGATTGCTTGTCCTAGTACTGGTCTCAACTGAAACAAAACCCCCAGAGCCGTAAGTTCATTTTAAAAAGGCAGCAAAAATAAGTAACTTAGCCAGCCCTACTTACATAAAAATACAGCAAGGGATTTTGCAACTGTGAGTTTTGGAATTTTTACAGAGAACCTAATTCTGAGGAGCAACTTCCGTAGCATTTTCCTCATAAAATGCAGTACAGATTGAGAGCTCGTGGACCAACATTCTTCAGTGCCAACTATACTGCTAAGAATTTGTTCTTGAATTATTTGAAGATGGGCTATCAAGACTCTTTTAAACAAATACATGATCTTCTACATTAAGTATACAAATACATTTATAAAATACATTTATAATAGTAAACAATAATATTGGGGCTATTACCTATTTAGATAATATAGGTATCTACAGAGAACACTGTCAAGAAATTCAGACTTGTTAAAAAGGGAAAACGGAGAAGTGCAAAACAGAAAAACCAAAACCAATCTCTCACTGTATTCTCTTTCTTATTTGTAATCACATAGTGAAGCACTTCTGTTTTTCTCATTTTAATCTTCATTTAGAACTTTTTTTTTTTTATAATTCAGAGATACAGCCTCTTAGAATAATTCACTTCATAAGTAGGTAGCACAGGCCTTAAGAGCGTAAAAATTGAAATAGCGACACAGTCAGAAAATAACCCTTCAAATGAAAAAATATGATAGTCAACTGACTTACTGCAAACAAAGTAAACTAATGTGTTAACTTGTTCAGTGTGGTGAAAGAACTGGCTTGGAATTTTGAGCTTGACATACCGAAAAAATATTTTCTGTGCTTTGAAAAAAATGCGATCGAATTAAAAATGTTATTAAATTCCAACTAAAAGGTTTGTTTTATGCGAATCTCAACTTACAAGCAGCTTCCTTAATAATACTGCCACTGAAATAAATGGCTTAAAAATTGTTAGGTGTATAACAAAAAATTAGAAGAGAGTATGAAGACTCAAAAATTATTTATTTACTTGAAAGGCAGCTCTACCTTTTTTATGGGAATCAATAAACTGAAGGTATTTCCTTTTCTCTTGAGGCTACCCTAAGCAAAATAGCCTTCTTTCTCCACAGGACACACTGGGATAGTTTGTTACTGTATGTAATTACAAGAATTCCCAGACCATATGTACAGCATAATTAAATTACAGGGTGTCTAGTGAGCATTGTGTCCAACAGTTGCAGACACCAGAAATGAAGAATTTGAAAGGCCCTTCTCTTTCATTATATTCTTCTTTCACAACATTTTTAATAGGATATGCAGATTTACAACCTTATGATATGAAGTAATTCATAAAAATAAAATTATTGTTGTGTTTAGAAACCGAGTAAAATGCCCACTCAAAGAAAAATTACACTGACACTGAGAGCAGTGAATTCCTAGTATCCTCATTTGATCTTCAGGATGGACAAGTCCAGCAAATGAAAACCTAAGTAGGTAAGAAAAAGATGCATTTCTCTTTCTGAAGCATTCTGCACCAATTCAGCTGGGCTGGAAAAGACCGAAGTGGATTCTTTAAAGGAAAGTGCTGGGACAAATTGCTTCCTCTACAAAAACACTTTCCTGCAGAGATCTAGAAAGGTATTTTTCAAGCATAGATGGAAGCACTTCAGTCAATAATATGAACACATCTCAGCACAAAACAACATACAAAATTGAAGTTATGACTACTCACTGAAAGGGGAGATCGGCAGTGCTCTCTGTTCTGCTGTTTTGCAATCGTACTGGGCGATGTCTACAGCTCACCAGGTGAGAGACTTCTTAATCCACTTGAAAATGAAAAGCAAAAAAGAATCTGTCAGGGAAAAAAGAAAAAAAAAAACCATTATAATTTCCAGAAAAATGAATTGTTTAACACTAGACGTAAGCGAAGATTTCAAAAGTGTTTTGGTACTCTCACAGCTTTTAAATGCCAAAAAGAGTATCACTACCTAGCCATGTTGGGATATGAAAATTTAACTTCTAAGAGCATCTTCTCCTTATGCCTCTCCATCCTCCCTGCCTCAAACCTAGGCAGACATCCACCCAAATAGTTTCCTTAGCCATTTAACTTACACACTGCTAAATCTAACAGATGTGAATTGACCATGTTCTCTCTACTTGATTCCCAAAGAAAGAAAAAGCACACTAATCCTGGTAGTAACGCCCAAACTTAGATCAATACATTTTTTTCCTTCAGATGTCCTGACTGTGAGAAGTTCAACTTAAAGTAATCTTAGATGTCACAATTCCACAGCCCACTTGTTGCTTCTCCTGGCAATTTATGCTTCTCTTATTCAGTCTGCAGTCCCTTATCCTGCCTGTTGGCTCCCACATTTTCTTCAGAAAATTTAATATCCTCAGTGCTGTTCAAAAGAAGACATTACCTAGAGCATCCAGAGCCTTAGCAATGTGTCTATGAAACTATCTAGTTAGAGTCACAGCTATCAGTAAGATTACATGGAAGATCACAATGGTTTACAACCAATGGAGGTTCTATCCTTCATTACAAATTGAAGCAACAAGATCTAAATGAGAACTACTTCAATGAAGAAACAACTGATCATGCAGAGTAGTAAATTCACTTCCCACTGAAAACAAATAAAATGCCCGCTGGCTGGAGGTGGAAAGCAAACCATCAACACTAAAGCCAAATATTTCACAAATATATACAAAACACATAAAGACAAGCTAATCTTTCCAACTGATATGTGTGAAATTGTCTTTTAACACTGGGAGTATTTAACACTGCTAGCTTATCTGCCACTTTCGTCGAATTTAAATTAATGGTACTTGGTTTTGGTTAAAAAAGAAGCATGATGTACCAGCACTACTTAACTGCTGAGGTCTAACTCTCTGAAAATGAATAGGCATAACTGTATTTCAGGCCAACAGCTTTCCAGAAACCATCAATTATTTAAATCAGACAAAGAATTCAATATGCATAGTACATTAGTATCATGTAAAATCTTTAAGACCAGAATCACGGCACAGGATTGCCTAAGATACGAATCAATGTGAAACAAACAGTGCTTTTAATTTGCAAATGCAAAAGCTGAAATACAGATAACCTTACTAATTAGGGATTCAAAGCTAGTCTCTACATCCATGATCTCCTTATTTTCACTAGTACGCTTACTTTTCTTAGTGCAGTCCCACGTACCCATGCCTCAGTGCAAATTATACTGTTATTACAAACTTACTGCTCTGGTAATTCTGTGTTATTTTGAGTATTCACTTATAATTGCTAATTCATTTATACCTTCCTTGCTCGAGTATCACTATTTCAGTGACTGAAGACTTCAGAAAGAAAACGTTCCTATGAACAACACCAGGTTATACTGAGATGCAAACACTGGTAATTCACACACGCACGCACAAGGAGATTGCAAGTGCTAAAAACTCCTTTCATCAGATTTACAAAAAACTGCCAACCAGACTTGTGGTATCATCTTCCAACCCTCACAAAAGACCACATTATACAGGCTTTCAAACCTTGTTAGGAAGAGGTGCTGACCATCAGCAAAGCATGTGGCTACAATACCTGCAGCATGTGCCTGCAGGAAGCCCCAGCTGGGCCGCAGTGCCAATGCATGTGCATGCATGTGCATGGCCACAGCACATCAAACCTCCCACACAGAAAGGGACTAGATAGGACAGAATTTCTATTCTGTTTTTTTTTTTTTTTTTTTTTTTTTTTCTCTCCTATTATAGCTTGTCACCAAGAGTGGCTAAAAATGCCACCTGACAAGCTAAAATGCTTCTCAAAATCCTAACTAATAATGTTTCATCCTCAATTCTCCTTTCAGGAAGAGGACAAGTGAGAAACATTTACGTACATCTACCAACGGGTGCAAATAAACACAACACAGCAAAACAAGTAACTAAGGTAGAAAGGATGGAACTTTCAGACTTCTCCTATTACGATACTAAGGCTAAATCTTGTGTGTGTGAGGGTGGGGAGGGAGAGGTATAATACATACACCTGTATTAAGGAAAAAAAGCTGAAATTAAATTTAAGAAAGAGTACTTGTGCTGTGTAATTGGGGGCCCGTGTGGAGGTGCTGGTAGCATGAGCTGCAGGGCCTCTGTGAGGGGAGGCTGGGGCTACACACACTGAACATAGAGCCGACTGGAACATTCTGGAGCTATTTACACTGTGGCATGCAGAAGAAATATTTACCATACTAAATCCACTTCTCTGTCATGTACATTCCAGCCAATATCAATAGTGCCAGTTCCCACAATAACAGTCCACCACTTCAGAGCACACAGAGGGTTAACTAAAGAGTTTTTTAATTATTCTGAGTGTAATTGCCATAGGCTGCAAGACCTGATAATCCTTACAGAATAACCTAAATATACTGAGATGGCACCTGTAGCAACTAGACAAACCAGTATGATTTAAAAACAAAATAAAAAAACAAAAAAACACAGGCATTAAAACAGAGGTATGATGATGGAAAGACCAGCACAACAGAAAGGTGGTATAAAGGAAGGGAAGAAGATTGCTCACCTGTATCAGAAGATTTAACATTCACAGGGGAAAGCTTCACCAAGGAAGGATCTCCAACCAGAGAACCTTTCCCCATGGCAGTCAGCCCTTAAATGAGGTCTAAGAGAGGTGCAGCCAGGCTGCAGCCCTTCCGGTCACACAGCTGAATTGCCTTCACCTGTGCTCCCAGGGCTGACCAGGTCCTTTCCCCAGGTGCTCCTTTCCCCAGGTGCTCAATCAGTGGGTCAGGCCATGACTCAGCAGTTCCCATACAGCACCCATCAGCAATCAGAGTATTTGACACACTTCATACTGTCATTCTCCTTGCTCTTGTTCATGATTTAATTAATTGAGCTGTATTTCTAAGATGCAGGTTTTAGATTAAGCATGCAGTGATAACAAAAAGGAAAGACTATGGCTACAAGAACAAAAAAGGCAACTGCAAATTCTACATAAGGTGTTTCTGGTTGTTACAAACTTCATTTTGTAGCACTGTATTTATGTCAGTCAATAGACTACTAAAGCACAGGTTCTCACCCGCTGAGCATCACCAAGCACTCCAAGCACTTCCCCGCTCCTCCGGACACGGCAGGCTCACTCCAGCTGCTCCCTGCCTCCCACTGCTGGCTCCATCTGCACAGCACCTGGGCACCAACTGTTCCATAACAGGATGGCACGTGACACAGAAAGATTGAAGACACTGTCTGCTAACACCGTGTGCTCAATTTTCGTAGCATTTAGTATTATGCAGCACTTTGTATGCTACAGAACAACTCTAGGTGCCTTCAACCGTAGCTGAGAATCGTAAATGTTTTTATAAATTAAAATACTCAGTAACTAAGGAACAAATGAGTGTTTACACTTTAAACCACAGCCTGTTTACTGCAGCATTTGTGCTCCTGCCTGTGGAGACACAGCCTAGACAGGGCTGGCCTGCTTGGCAGAAGCAGTGAACCTGATCAAGTTCTAGATCACTCTGCTTTCTCTCGTCTCTGTTCCTCACAGTTGTAGGTTTTACCAGTTCTTCGATCTCTGTGCACTGTCACAGAAACACATATTCTATTCCTTCAGACAGTGCTGAGGGGTGTGCACAGGGCAGGAACGCCCTGACCAGCCTTTGGTGACCAATCCCTTGGACTGCAGAGCAAGGCCACTTGCATGTAAGATCACCCCTTCCTGAATCCTTTCCTTCATTCACTTTACCCCAGCAGCAAAAGAAAACGAATAAACAAACAACAAAAACCCATGATCTTACTAACAACTTTGCAAGTCTAATTCATTCCTAGAAAGCATCTGCTCAAAACACTGAATAAAGCAAGTGTCGTGAGGAAGAAGATTGCATCATCACGCAACTTCACCCAAAGGCCATGGCAAATTCAAGCTACAGACTTTGCCCATGTTTTGAACCCCCTTTCATCCAGCTTTTTGTTCTTTTTTAGAAACCTGCACAATTACTTCTAAGTTTCAACAAGAAGAAATTGAGGCCTGCAGAGTCTACTGAGAAGTAAAAATGTTAGGCAATATTTACAAAATGTAAATCTACAACTTGGTGTCAATTTACTTTTAATGTACAAACTTAATATTCCGTAGACTGTCACCATCCTTAAGAAATGCATATCACCTCACGCTTTATTAATTGCCAAATGTTCAAACCAATGAAATAGTACCTAGAATTTGTATTAGATTTGATATTTAACAAAAATGCTAATTATTCAAAGCAATACTGATCAAAACCTCGTGCAATTGATAGATAATAAGACTTCCAAGATATGCTTTTCCTCACCCTGACATAAACACATATAACAGAACTAAGAGTGTAAGTTTTACACCCAACTTAAAAGGAAAAGTATGATTTCTTCTTCCCATTAGCCAGCCAAAAATATGAAAGACCGTGGTAAATTAGCAAATGAAGGTTAACTGACTTTTTTGCTAATGAATAATCATAAAAATAAATAAGCTTTTAAGAACTGTGAAATTATAAACAAGTGTTTCAATATATTAGAACTGCAGAACAACAACAACAACAAAAAAGAAATTATTTCTCAAGTACATAAGTTCTGTACCACTTGGTAATTGACATCCAATCAGACTTCTATTAAAAAAAAAAAAAAAAAAAATCCTTTTTTCTACCAAATAGTAGACAGCTGTTTAAATCTTAAGGAGAAATACTGACCAAAGTCAGTAAGAATGGGAATCCAGTAGTTGACAGTTACAGAAAAGATCATGGCAAAAATCTGATAGTACACTGCTCACAAGAGGCACTGAATGAAACCACATCTGAATCGCAGCAGAATAGAAAACATAATACACCGGAGAAGTAG